GTCTTGCATAGCTTTATAGAACTTTTTTTTCGTATCATATGCTGCTGAAGTTTACGAACAGATGAAAGGTGTCAATATCAGGTTTTTTGAGACCTTAAAAAATAATATTTGAAGCAATTTGTCGTAAATCCCGTACGTATTTTTCTTCGACATGTATTTTAAAAATATTTTATTTAGTATATTTCGATTGAATACGGGTAGAATGAAAATTGTTAATGCTGCGTGCCTTTTCAAAAAATCGTGTTTTGAGAAACTCATGTGTTAAGTTACACCTTTATTCACAACGTCCGGGAAGGAATTTCCTTATCATTGCTTCACTTGACTTGGCATAAATTTAAAAAACTATTTAATTAAAAACTAGATGATCATAAAAATGTAAAAGTGTAAATAAATCCGTGAACAACTAAAAATTATAATAAAAGTTGCCATTCCCAGAATATACAAATTTAAGCGGCAATATTAAACAATCACAAAATCAGTATCTAAGGTAAAAAATACAGCTCTACTTGAAATATGAAAAAATATATTTTCATATAAAACTCAAGACCCTACTAGAATATTTTCTAAAAAAATAGTAAAAGACATATTGTAGCAACTTTTGTAATTTTACAAAATATTTTTTTAAGTTCTACCATGTTGTTTGATTTGGACCCTCAATAAGAAAAACCTCGAAAAAATACTTTCGTTTTTTTATAACTTAGTCCAGTTAATAATCTTATTATTACACTTTTATCCATGTAGGTTTTATCAGTTATTTGTCCAACTTCAATTTTATATAGAATAAACTAAAATTTGTCATCCCCGAAGAACAAAATGAAGTTTTATTGTATCATGTTATTAAAGTGAAAGCGACATATTACAGTGTCATAAGAGCAAGTCTTTACAACGCTATGAATGAGTTAGGAATTCCAAAAAAACGTGACAACAATAAAGTTGACGATCGCGATGGCTAAGATGCTATCAGCAGTAAATAGATGGCGTGTAAGTTTGTTAATATAGCCTTAGAATCATACGAGACCATAATTTAAATAGCGGGGTAAATATATTTAATGGATTAGTCCAAATTCTAGCATATGATGACGACGTGGACATTATAACAAGAACCCGGGAGGTAACCACGGAAATCCTAACCGAGCTAGTAGCAGCAGAACGAATGGGATTACATATAAAATAATAATAATAAAATATGTAATAAGTAGAACAAAACCAAATTCATGCCGACTCACACACGAAGTGTAAACGTTGACGAAGATCTACTTGTCAATGACCGAAACTTCGAAGCGGTCAAAGAGTTCATTTATATCGAGGGATATATAACATTGAATAAAACACTGATAGTCCCTGTTCTTACATATGGATCAGAGACATGGATCCTAACTAAAACAGACGAATCGATTTTTGACAGAAAGATACTACGCAAAATATTCGGAGCGGTGTGTGAAAACGGAATATGGAGGCGAAGATATAACTTTAAACTGCAGAGTATCTACAAGCATAAGTTTGGTGAAAAATAGATTACCACTACAATCAAGCGAAACCGTCTACAGTAGACAGGACATGTAGCTCGGGCCCCAGGATCGAACACGATAAAAAAGATTTTAACAGCACAGGCTGATGACGGGGCAGACCAAACGTAGGGTGGATAGACGGGGTAACACATGATGCAGATAAGGTCGGTGTTGCCAATTGGAAAGTCCAAGCAAGGGACAGAGAAGAATGGCGCAGAAAAGTTAAGAAGGTCGGGGCCATCTAAGGGCTGTAGCACCGTGATGATGATCACGGTTCTACAGCACTCAAATTTTCTTGGATCAAATACGTACATGCTAACTAATGACATTTAATGGATATTTCTATTAGCTGTTATATTACAAAGACAGCATCCTTCCCCTGATTTAATCCTCTTCTTCGTCCAATTCAGATATTACACTGTTTATTTCATTTAAAATAATTTTACTGTAATTAGATAGCAGTTTGTCTAGAACCTTTTATTTATATGAAATGCTTCTTAGAATGCAAGTACAAGGTAAACACAATTTGAGCGTGTAAACCAAAAATAAATTTTTAGTGTTAATATATCTCCGTTTAATTTGCCGTGGAAGAAAAATCTGCCAGAAAACTTCCCGTTATATCATCCCAAGGTCAGTTTCTTGTAATGTATTATTTTGTTATCTTCTTGATTTGTACTGTTGTTTTCTTTAGAACTGTTATTTTTTATATACTTTATTTAGTACTGTTACTTCTTTCTTCACTTCCCTTCTTTATTTTACATTTTTATTAAATTGTGAGTCGTTCACTACTTCCTTACGTCTTCACACTCACACACTCTCTCTCTCTCTCTCTCTCTCTCTCTCTCTCTCTTTCTCTCTAGGACGTCACAACTAGGTTAATCTCAACATTGACTCCTATATTGATCAGAAACACATATTACTTGACGTTTAGAGGTATGACATTATTTTCTCAATTATTGAAACTAAAAAAGGAAAATTCAAATAGAAATCTATTTGACCTAAAAGAAGTGGAAATTAAGTTAATGGATAAGTGACAGTGACTCAGCAATATTGCCATAGTTAGTTTGTGGTTACCACAGGTTCTAAAATATGTTTATGGTACTTGTGTTGTGTTTGAATTTATAGAACAGTGTGTCGTCAGGAAAAACTTATATTACTTATTTAAAAAGTAATAATTTTGAAAGATATTGATCACAATCAAAATAACACTTAAAATTGTTAATGGTACTGAGTTCTCCATTTATGAAGTGTTGGAAAAAGTGCTGTAGAAGGATTTATCAATATCGTTTTACAGATTAGCCATATCATAGATGTAATTAATAATTTAGAAAAAAGTTTGATAGGCTTGATAAAGTTTGATTAGGTTAGGTTTGGTAAACCTAATTAGGTTAGGTATGGTCAGGCCAATTAAATTTGGTCCGATTAGGTTAGTTTAGAAAAATCCACTCAACGCATTCCGTGAACACAAGATATGGAAAATTAAAATTGATCGGTAACAAAAAGAATAAGATTCGAGGTGCTGATGATGAGCGAACCAAGGTGATATAGTAAAGTTTTGGTTAGGTTATACCTGATTGGGTAATATCTGTGTTTGGGTTGTTCGTTAACGGAGAAAGTGGGACTCATGTGGAACTAGTCTCCAATAAAGATGAGAGAAATGAGCAGACCAAACCTTGTGGTCTGAGACACCATTGGAGCCGTTAGAGAGAGGAATCCTACATAACCGAAACATATAGGCAATTATTCCCACCCACTTCTCCTTTCTTTTCTTCTTTTGGCTTTATTACACTAACTGGGTATTTGCCTGTCCGGCTATTTCCTTCCATTCAGATCTCTCGTGTGCTCTTCTTTTCCATTCTTACATTCATCGTTTTTAAGTCATTTTCCACATCGACTAACCATCTAAGTCTAATTATCCTAATGCACATTTCACGATTATCGTAACTGTTTCTGTATTTTATAAAATGTGGACATGTCCCAGCCATGCCATCCTCTGACTTTACAAATCGTACAATGTTATATCCTTCATTCACTTCACTAATTTCATTGTTTCTACTTATCCTCTATGTAACATCGTCTTCTTATACCGGACCTTACACTAGGGCCAGGGTATTTTTTTATTATTAAGGTATTATTACATTTTTCATCAATACCTTCATAAATACCCTAAATAATATAACACTTTTTCTTCTCTTTTCCATTAAAGAATTTAAAGAAGGTTAGAGATGGTGGCATTAGATTAGATTAACAAAAAATCCATTATTAAAATTTAATTTTTATATCGGTTATGTTTATTTTTATTTCTTTCCGACTAAATTAAAGAGTATGATTCTTAAATATTATCTTTCTTAAAGAGTTAAGTCAACAAGTGTTCTTTCTATATGCCTACATTCTAATTATAAGAAGCTATCATCAAATGTTCTATATGAGCTTAATAAAAACTACAGTTAATGTTTTCAATAATATTTTTAAGCTCTTTGGTGAAAATAAACTTTGTTTTACTAGCTGCTTACTTTATTATTTTGGACAAAATTCTTATTAACGACATGGCATTTTGAACTACCTAAATTGTTGAGATTTTTGAACTGTTCAAACAATTAGTTTAAATATTAATTAATTAGTTCTCGACTTTTTAACAGTTTCTCAAACAATTATCAGTTCCTACTTTAAGCAAAAGGTTTTTTTGTTTACATAAAGCATAAATATATTATCAACTATTATTGCAGTTACAGTTGTTTCGTGTTCTTTATAATAACTGTAGTAACGAACCATCGACAAAAAATGTAATTAGAGCAAGCCTTAGATGGTTAATCAGTACTTTCAGTTACATTTGTAACATATATACAGGAGAGTTGGAAATTACATATGGAAATGTTGCAAAATGAACTAAATAAAGAAACTGACTACTTTAGAATCAAGAATTTCAGTGTTGCTATTTGTGATGAAGTACTACTTAAGAGTGGACGATGATGAACTACTACTTATAATACAGTGAACTTTAATCCCAACGAAACAGAGAATTAATGTATACTAGCTTTTACAAGAATAAACTGAACAAATTTACTAGAGAAGACATAAGGTAAAATAAATTAATGTAGAAGGGACACACAAATGATTCATGTTAATCTGGCCAAAAATATATTGACGACTGTAACATTATAAAGCTAAGGACTCTAAGTTAAACAATGTCACACTGATATCTATTCCAGATCAGCGGGGAATACATGGTAATGAGAGAGCTGATGAATTTGCGAGAAGGGCATCAGCTACAAAATACTTCAGTCCAAAGCCTGCTGTAGGAGAACCAAAAAGCAATTTATAAACTACGGAATTCCTAAAAGTTTTTCACTAGGTTTACGCAAATCTTTATGGACAATCACGTATCGGCTAATGAAAATCAAGCATTATTGTTAATTCCTACTTTTTTATTAAATTAAACTATCAAATGTTCTTTCGAAGATTACTTATTTTTCATTTATTCCATTAAGATAGCTGAGTCTTGACTTTGCGTCATATTATTTAAACATTTCAATATAATGATATCTTTTATATCTCTTACTCTTTCCTTTTTTTGGAGAATATCCTTCACAAACAAAAATCACTTTATACTCTTTGCTGCAAGAGTTCTTCAGGAATGTTATACAAATTAAGAACTGGATAAAAGGTAGGAGGCTGCTCTACAAAGCTATCTGGTATTAGTACTGGTTGTGGAGGAGCTAGAACTGTACCTGGAGGATTCCGGTGAGGCATACCGGTCGGTGGTATGTCTTGTCGAGTCCTACACGTTACACTCGTGTTAATGCCATGACGTCGTTTCATATGTTTATTGTAATTAGGCCAATTTGTAAAGTGATGTTGACACTCATTGCACGAGTAAGGTCTCTCTCCTAAAAAATAGTTTATTTTAATATATTACAGAAAAAAAAACATGCAAAGGTTGTTTTTGAATGATTATTTACTGTGTAACAATCGAAATTTCAAATCAAAAGATAAATAGATAATAGAAAATACATCGTAGAATAGCCACTGACATAATTACCTAAATCAAAATGGTGGTGGCACCTTCCCGCTATCCAAGTTTTTGATTAAACTGGCTTAAAAAGAACTACCTTTGAACCCCAAATTAAGATACCCATTAGAACCCAAAAGATAGACGGAAGAAGCGGCACAGGTCGAAGAAGAATATCATGGCTTAGAAAGCTGAGGGAATGGTTTAACAGATCCTCTTTATCCCATTTTCGACCTGCCGTCAACAAAATTAGTGTAGCCAATTTGATACCCAACGCACGATAATCGAGCAGGGCACAGGAAGAAGAAGAAAGGAACTGTATCCTACCAAAGGAAATGTCTTAAAAGTTAAGTGTAACTCAGATGACTTATATAACTTAGATGACCTTGGCACACCATTGTCATATGTCACATATTGACTGTCTGACTATTGGCGTACCACACTCTTACGTCACTAGATTTAATTCATTAAAAGAAAATAGGTAAGAAAAATAGGTCACTATGAAATTATCACTCGTAAGAAGAAACGAAAAGTATTATATATTTTTTTTATTTTAATTAATTTACAATTTTTGTTTTTGACAACATACAAGGTGTTTCACGACGAGCTTACACTATCTATATATCGGAAACTACATACTTACACGACATTTATGAAAATGGTTTATGGGGATTACAAGTTATGACAAACTTAAAGAAAATATTTGATTGACATGCCACTTCCAGTTCTACCTGAAGTGAGTAGCAACTTTGTTATTTTAAATAGAACACCTTGTATATTATTGAATTTTACGGTTTTTCGTAAAACTTTTAGAGATAATTGTGATTTAATGTCAAAGATAAAATATTTATTGTTTTATTCTATAGTACAATCCACAGTTAGAATGCAGTGCGTAAGATAGGCAATGTATTTTTTACAAGAGAACTTCTTCTTCTTCGTGCGACTAGGATTACTCCTGTTTGTCTCCCTCTTATTCTGTTTCAGTTGTTGTTAACTGTACATTATCTTTCCACCTTTTTGGAGGCCTTCCAACGGGTCTTCTGCTATACGGTTTGTTGTTTTTACAGATGTTCGCTAATCTATCTGGTCCCATTCGGTTTACATGTTCGTTCCAGTTTTTTTTTTCGTGTTTTTATCCACCTGTTAATATTTTGAATTTTGCATTGTTCGCGTATACTTCTGTTGGTTTGTCTGTCTCTTAATGATATGCCCGCTATTGATCTTAATACTTTCATTTCGATATTGTTGATTTGTTGTTTCGTCTTTCTTGTATCGGTCCTTGTCTCCGCTGCATATGTTAGGATTGGCCTTACTGTTGTCTTGTACACTTTCATTTTTTTTCCGTGGTCAGATATTTGTTTCTCCATATGGTTTCTCAGAGGCAATCACTTACTCTTGCTGCTTTTAATGCTTACCTTGTGGTCTCTGTTATTATATCCCTGTCACTAGTAAACAAGAGAACAAGAGTGTACAAGTGTGTAGTGTAGTGTACAAGAGAACGGACGACAATATTGCCGGTTTGCTCCGAGCGGCGCATCAGGACCGGATTTGAGAATCATAGCACTGAAATATACGCGCACACAACAATTGTCTACGGTTGTATAAAAGACTATCACTATTGTTTCAACTAAAGCATGATTCAATCATGGATGTATAGATAAGAGAGATACATTGTCGAACTAAACAATAACATGAAGAAAAATACAATAAAAAAGTAAAATATATCAAAAACTCATTAGCTTCCATTGTAAACACATTCTTTGGGAGATAAATATCAAGATAAAGTCATTTGGAGAAGCGAATCAGTTTTAATCCCCATTGTCCACGCAAAGCAAACATGTCTCTTTGTCGATTTGGGTACTGGCCATTAGCCCAAAAACTTGTTGGTGGAAACTATGAAAGCTCGGTTCTATTTCATTGTCGCAAGCGGAAGAAAGTATTACTCTTAGTGTGCAAGTCAAACGAATGGTGTTAAATGTATTGAATTATCATCTGAACTTAAAAAATGGTGAGAGCTTGACTATTACTGTAAAAATAGTGTCGAAAATATGCGGTGTCAGTGTTCGCAAAATTTATCCAAAAAGGAAGAAAAACAGTTTCCAGTCCAATTCACGAGAGAATACTTACGATGAGGGAGTGAAATCTCGAATTAGGAAAATTGTCCATGATTTTTTTTAAACATACCTCCAACCGTCGACAGCATAATGAACAGAATGAAGGATGATGAGGACCTACAAGCTTTATCAAAAGCCACATTTCGTAGGCTACTAAATGACATGGGTTTTGAATATGGTAAAAGATCGAGATTCGATAATGATGGAAAGAAAAGATATCATGTCCTGAACACACAAGTACCTCAGACAAATAAAAGCATTGAGGAGAAGGTTAATGTAAACCTTGTTTATACCGATGAGTCTAGGACTAACGTCGGTGCTTCAGTTAAAAAGGAATGGAGGGATATACGGATCAAGAATCCACGAGATGCCTTGATAAACGGGCTCTCTACTGGACAGAAAGCTCCAATCCGAAGACGTCCTCGTTTTGTTCTTCTTCATGCTGGACGCGAAAAAGGTTTTGTGGCATGGGTCGAACTTTCTTCGTCAAGAAGGGAACCGCTAAAAATGGTTTGAGAAGACGTTAATTCCAAACTTGCCGAAAGACAAAGAAAACGTTTTGTATAATGCGTCATACCACTCCCGCAAATTTGATTTCCCGAAAAAATTGTGGAAGAAAAAGCAAATCAGGGATCGGCTAATCGAAAAGAACATTTTCTTCGAGGAGGATTACCTAAAAAATGAACTATTGGATACTGCGGCCGCATTTAGAGACAATTACGACAAGTACAAAAGTGAAAAAATTGCGTAAAAATATGGCGTTAAGATTTTGAGACTGCCGCCTTATCATTGCGAGCTGAACCCGATTGAGATGGTGTGGAGTTAGGTGAAAAGGTATGTGGCTTCAAACAACATTGATTTAAAAAAAAACGGTAGAACGGTTGATAAAAGAAGCTTACCAACGCGTACCTAAAGAGCAGTGGCATAATTATGTGAACCACGTCAAGAAAGTAGAAGAAAAAAATGTTTGTGGTGGACAATTTGTAGAAAGATATTGAATAGTCAATATATAATTAATATAGGAGATGATTCAAAGGATGAGGACGATTTAGATATTGATTGCGATTAGTATTAATTAACGAGAAATATCTCAGATGTAATGCTCATTTATTTTGCAGTACTGTACGTACAGTACATTTCAGTTATATTCTTGTGTATATATATTTATCGTGTCATATCGGGCAACTACTTGCATTTTTTTGTATACATGTATATAAGTATTTACGAGGTATTTTATGTATATAGGAATTTTTTATAGAATTAATTTGTTTTTTTTTTGTTTAGTCTTTTATTTAACTCAGTTAAATTAATAAGTAAAGATTTTTGAACGCGCGTACGGTCCTGATTGCTCAGTCTATCGTCAAACTACCACACACGTACCACTGTGCCGATATGAGCGGCATATAGGCCGTAAGGCCAACACACTGCATTCTAATTGTGGCTTCTACTATAGTAGGCCGTGTATGACTATATCATAACTGTCATGATTTGTGGTTATTGACACTTTTGCAAAATGGCTTGTTTAGATTTAAACAATGAAGAATGCCTAAATTTACTTTTTATACATGGATAATGCGACAGAGTTATTAGTAGAACATGTGCTTTATTTGCTAAAAGATATCCAGATCGACCACGAACTACCTGTGAAACTGTGAAGAGATTACTTAAAAATTTAACAAATTTTGGTTGTTTTTAACAAAGTTAAGCCTATTGTTGGTAACAATGATCATACAATCAATGTTCTTGGTTACTATGCTGTTTATACCAAAGCGTTATTGCGTTGTTCAGCGAATAAAACAAAAACAAAAAGTTCGTCCCTCTTCTTAAAACACAGTTCAAAGTTTAAAGGAAACAGACCATAATAAAAGAATAGAATTGGGAAGGATAAAATGTCAAGAAAATAATGAATTTTTGAAGAATATTAATATTGTGACCAATCAAAATTTACAAAAAACGTAATGTTGAATAGACACAATTAGCATTAATTGAGCGAAGTAAATTACCATTTAACAAGAGTGCGTGATTTTCAGAAGCGATGAGAGTTTCATGTCTTTTGTGCGATCAGATACAACAGGTTGTATTTTATGATAACTTGAAACTACTTACTTTTTTTAGGTAACAGATATCTCAATATACTTAAAGTAAGTTTATGCCCTCTTTATTGTTTAATTCTATATTTTTAAATCCAGCGGAATAAAATTTAAAAAATTTTATCACTTTGTAAAAGTGCTAGTAATCACAAATCATGTCATAATGACAATTATGATATGTTTATACAAGGCCTACTAAAATAAAACGATAAATATCTTACCTTTACCATTAAACTACAATTATCTCTAAAAGTATTAACTTTAGGTATAGGGAACCGCAATCCCATTTAAAAGAAAATTGATCTCTTTTTTTATTAAAATTATAAAATATATTTCATTTAAAAATATTAACTTACTCTATATAGTTTGAAGTTTAAAGAAATGGCGTATACTTTGTGAACACACTGTATTTAGAAAGTTGATTTCGATTTAAATTATTGAGAGAACGTTACTACTATTTGTGTGCAAAAATGTTCAAGACATTATTATTGCAAATGGATAAGATAGTAACTTTGAAAAGTTTGTCTGTCAAAATTTTTGAAAAAAGATAAATAACTAAAAAATTATGAAGTTTTGACCTATAGTAGGTTATACAAGTTTTATCCAAAATATCACGAAGAATCTAAAAATGCAATAATATACAGGGTGTTTCATTTAAAATAACCTACCTACCTACTTACTTCCGTACTTGTATCCTTATAAACCAGTTTTCATAAATATCGTATAAGTAGTTTCCGATATACAGATAGTGTAAGCTCGTCGTGGCACACCCTGTATATAAACTCCTCACCAGTATTTGATCGTTTGAAGATTGTGAACGTAATTTAACACTCAATTGACTATTTGGGAGACGAATTGAAACCTCTAGAAAAATCGCTGCGACAGAAAGATTATGCTCCAATATACTTCAAGCCAAATATATGCCCAAAAAGAGTCAACCGTAATGGTATAGCAAGGTATAGCAATATCGATCAATAGCAAGAATCAAAAGGTAAAGCTATCTTATCGCATATTAAAAATGTTACAAATCAAATCGGCAATAGTCCATCTTCAAATCGACGAAAACGATACATGAAAGTCTAACATCAACGAAATATCCCAAAGAGCCACGGTTCATTCCAACAATTGACCGCGTTTCCTGTAACTGTGGTTCAGTGTATATGGAAACAACAAAACATAGGTTAAATACTACATGTTGTCAAGGTAAAGACAGATACTCACTATCCAAATAAATTTTTTATTGTTGGCAGAAATATGTTCGACTAGTTTCAGGGTTTACATAATACCCTATCATCAGGCCCAGTATTAAAAACTTTACAGACTAAAATGATATCTATAATAGAGATTATGTAAATTGACAAACAAAGAATATTCCAGTATAATATATGTTATAATGAGATGATAGTGGAATGGCACTCACTTCGTTGAGTTCTCAGCACAGGCTTTATTAGTATATAAGGTTAATTTTTTTTATTTTCAAGACACAGAACACAATGATTAAAATTGATAACAATAGATGGGGTTAGGTTACATTTTATTATATAACTATTTTGGGATATTTGAACAATATAGTTTGTCAGTGGTCCAGCATAAACTACCCTAATCTATGATACAATAATTATAAATTAAATTTTCAAAATAAAATAAAACTCGTTTCACCGAGCACAAAAGGGCTATTGCCTTGTATTCTGCGAAACATCAGTTGTGGCATATCACACAAAATAACCTCCTGATTTTATTCCTTCTAGTTTGCATTTAAACAGAACGTGCACTAAATAGTACAAAATACAAATATTCTCCCCAGACGCATTGAACATTTTATTCAAAGAAACATAGGTGCTTAATGTAACATCACACTATCCCCGAATGTTTAAAAGAGTATCAATATTCAAAAATTTACGATTAATTTAATCATATAGAAGAAGGTAGACAAGGCTATGAAGTAGTAGAGCTCTCTCCAGACGAACATTGAACATTTCAATACTGATTCAGATCGACCAACAGATCCCGAGAGGCACACGAAGCGATGGTTAGATATAACACAGATACTCGGTGAAGATCATCGATGTTTGAGGGGAACGAAACGAGTCACGTTGACGTCCGCACCCGTATGGGATTTGATAATGTTGATCGCAGATACTGGCAAAACTTAGAAGCAAACAATTCCGGAAGACGACTTATAACCTTAACCCTTTAGAAAAATGTACCAATTACCCTGATTATTTTAACTTGACAATTTAAATTGACCTATATAAGTGAAATATGTGTATGTTTACTAAATACTTTACCTGTGTGCTGTCGTCTATGTGTTGTTAGCACGCCCTTAAATCTAAAACATTTACCGCAAAATTCGCAAGTAAACGGCATAGCTCCAGTATGTATCCTATGATGTTCCTTAAGAGTACCTCTTTCCCGGAATTGCCTACCGCAAATGTCGCACCGGTGAGGTTTTAAACCAGAATGAACAGAGCCGTGCTTGCGCAGTCGAACCACAGTTTTAAAAGTCTTCCCACAAACGTTGCACGTAAAGGGACGAGCTGCCATATGCGTCAATAAATGGTTATCTAAGTTACCTGTTGGATAATAAGAAGAGTTAAAAGAAAAATATTAATTTATAAATTTAAAACTATTCAAGAAAATCAAAAAACAAAAGTATTCAAGACAGAATAAAGAAATTTGGTATTATAAACGGAAACTGCTGTTTCTCTATGTATGATTAACGAAAAATTAACATAAAAAACAAGTGGCTATCTATTAATATGCTTTCCAAGTTAACCAGATTCCGATTTATTTTATTATTTTTAAACTTACTCTCTATTAGACAAATCATCAGCCATTGATGTAATCAGTACATATCTGTATGCGAAATGTCGCTTTAGTATCGTTTTGAATCCGATAAAAAATTCCTTCAATTGGTTAGTTCAATTATTATGAAGAGGCCAAACCTGTCTACGGTGTGATAAACGCATGTCTTATTCAGCTCTGATTAAAGTTTAACTAATTTGTAAATTCAAACCAAATTTATTGAATCAATGGTTAGTGAGGAGTGATAAATCACATCCGAAAAAGTATGGATACAAAAATCTTTTTACACAATTTTATGACGGGGGTGAACAATAACGACCATCGGCAAGATAATATGAACAATGCAAAGGAAATTGAAAAAAAGTATAGGGAGGAACTGTCGCATGACGACTTGAAGAAAGAATTAGCAGGAGAAATGATTAATAGTTTTGAGAGGGAACTTGTAATAAGGCACAGGCAACAACAAAAACTGAATAGATCGAGTGTTGCAAAGCAGTCGACATTAGTAGGAGAGGAAATTACAGAAGATAGTGAGAACGATGAGGAAGAGATAGGGGAAGAATAACCACAGGAGGAAGTGGAAAAATTAAAGATGTATGGCAGAATATCGAGGGGAATGCGCTGGCAACTCTTGTTTGACGAAGAAGAGGCGGGGGAGACATACACATGCACAAGAAAAGAAAAGCCGAAAGCATGGAGAATATAAATGATCTCAAGAGGGAAAGGCTGGAGGAGAGCATAAGGTTTCCAAATGAAACAAAACAAGAAAAAATAAACAGGAAATTGTAGGAATTAAATACAAAACTCGAAGAAATATTTAACAAATTTAGCGAAACGGAAGCGAAAGATAAAGGTATGGAAAAGCAGCATTAAAGATGTAGGGGAGGACCTAGACGAAATCCCAGAGGTCATGTGGGTTGTTCGCAAACGACCCGAATAAGGAAACCATAAGGAAAGCTCTCGAATATGTAGGGCATAGAGATAGTATATCCTGGGAGATTTTAGTAAGAGGTAAGGAATTCGGTGCAGAGAGGAGAGTGTAACAAGAGGAAGCTCTCCTCCTACTGCTAAGAAAGGCATAGTACGGATAGGATGGCTTGTCCGTCCTACCGAGCCCTTGTATACGCCAGGGGAAAAGAGGGAAACTCTTAAAACACGGCAAAATACATAAAATAGACTTTTTGGAAAACGAAGGTGGGCCCATATACAGAACACCTAGGTGTTATTTTATATCTACGAAATTTATTTTATTTACTTTAATTATTCCAATTTTAACGAACTATACTTTTATTTATTGAATCTGTTTATTTATACATATTTTATCCATATACCGTATTTATTTATTTTATTTATATTACATTATTTATTTATTTTAGTTTTTATGGTTTTTAGCGTTTTCGAAAGACGTGAATCCGATGCAGAAATGACCTCTGGGAACTGAACCAAAGTGGCCCTCAAAGATCAACCTGATATACGGATATTGCAGGTTAACGTGGGCAGAGCCCGCCGAGCGCACGATCTTGTCCACGTAAAAGCCTGCAAGCTAAAAAGAGACCTGCTCATCTTCCCGGAACCAAACAAAAAGATAACGTCATCCGGTGGTTGGGTCCAGGATAACGAGAAAAGCGTGGCGGTGCTCTTTAGAAATGGGGGTTTGGGGGTTGCGAAGTATTGTCAGGGGAGGAAATCATGTCCTCATCAAATTGAGGGATTTCAGCCTCCTGGCATGCTACGTGTCCCCAAATATCCCTATGATAAGACACAAAGTAATTGTAGACGAAATAATGATCGCCGCCACGAACGAAAAAGAAGTGCTGATCGCCGGTGACATCAACGCGAAATCGAGGTTGTGGGGTTCCCACGTAAACGACGCCAATTGGAAAACAATGGAACGAATGGATAGCCCAGGCTGGCCTCCAAGTATTAAACAATAACAAACAAACTTTCGTAAGGGGGCCAGTCGAACACACATCGATATTACATTCGCGAGTGAAGGGCTCTCCAGGAGAGTGCACGGGTGGGATGTCCTTGACGATCGGTTATTCACCTACCACCGGTATATAAAATATGAAACAAAGATGAAAGGGGGAATAAGGCGACCGATAGGACACACGGAAATTTATTTCAACAAAATCTCGTACCTATCGGAGGTCAGAAAGATCAAGGAAAAAGAGATTTCTGACATTGGCTATCTGAGAAGAGCACTAAAAAGTACAGTAAAGTTGGCCACCGTGAAGAGAAAGAATATATAAAGATCTAAAGAAAACCTTAAACAAAAAAATAAAACAAGAGAAAAAAGAAAAATGGCAGACCCTGATAAAAGCATTGGACGAGGATATATTGGATTGGATGCGTACAAGATAACCATGAAGACGCTTAAGATAATCGCCCCATATAGACTTGACGTAGACCAGCGGATGGAATCAGCGAAACTCCTCTTCCCTACCAAGGATCCTCAAAATTTTATGAAAAATTTCCAACGATGGTAGAGGAGTCCACGGAAGAGCAAATAAGAACCGCTGGCCAGGAGGTGAAGACAGGGAAAGCTCCCGGCCCTGACGAGCTGGCCCCAGAGGCAATAAAAGTACTAGCAACGGAGAAACCAGGCTTGATCAGAAGAATATACAACGACGTACTGCAGAAGCAAGAGTTTCCCAGGGATTAAAGGAAGCGAACTTGGTTCTACAGCTAAAGCCTGGGAAACCCCCCGATTCAGAAGCCTCTTAACGGCCAATATTCCTCCTAGACTGCCTTAGTAAATTCTATGAAAGACTTATCAAGAGGCGGCTGGAGCGCGTGTTGGAAGATGAGAGAGTGCTTTCAAACCAACAATACGGATAATGAAAAGACAGATCGACAGTCAATGCCGCAACCTGGATAAGGGATGCGGTCAAGACAAGCAAGAAAAGATGGGTGGTCTTTGTTCTGCTGGACATAAGAAATGCTTTTAATTCAGCAAACTGGGGTCTCATAGTAGACCGAACCATGGAATTTGGGGCTCCAGAGTATATGTCCAGCATAATAAAGGACTACTTATCGGAAAAATCCGTATGCATATCCAAGAAGAAAAAGAAATTACCCCGCCGGAGTACCCCAGGGATCAGTCCTGAGATCCTTAGTTTGGAACATACTATATAACGGGGTACTAGAAATACACAAGAAGAGAAGAGTGAGAGCGATAGCATACGCGGACGATCTAGCCCTACTTGTCGAAGACGATACGAATTGGGGAATAACAGAAAAGGTAAATAATGCGATAAGAATGACCGCGGCGTGGCTAGAGAAGAACCACCTAAAACTAGCAATAGAAAAGACAGAAGTAATAATCTTGAGGGAACCACGAAAAAGAAACGATATAATCTTCGCGTATCAAGACAGGAGTAGCAGACGTTATTGAAAGGATAACAACACTAAAGTGGAACTGGGCAGGTCATGTAGCAAGATCAGTTGATGACCGGTGGACAAAAAGAATTTTGGAATGGAGACCCCGAATACAAGCTTACAGAAGTAGAGGTCGACCCCCAACGAGATGGACAGATGACAAAAAGAGTAACTACAAATTGGATTCAGATGGCGCAAAATCGGACTAAGTGGAAAAGCATGCGAAAGGCCTATGTTCAGCAGTGGACGTTAGAGGCTAGTTGATGATGATGATGATATCAAGACTCCGAAATAAGACCCCAAAGGACAGTCAGATACTTAGGAATGACATTCGATGACAGACTCTCTTTCGGACAGCATGTGCAAGAAGCATGTCGGAAGGCGGAAGAAAGGACCTCAATACTGAACAAGTTAATGCCCAACATCGAGGGACCCGGATCCCAAAAGAGAACAGTAATGCTTCAATCAATACTGTCCATAATACTATATGGGGCCCCAGTGTGGCACGAGGTCCTTCGGATGACAAAGTATAAAGACATGCTTATTAGGGCTGATCAGGGTGTGCAGCGCGTACAGGAATGTATCAACCATTGCCTTACAGGTGGTGGCCGGTTCTGTACCGGTGCACATCTCGGCCAGGGAGAGAGCCAGAATGTACCAAAGGGGCAACGAAGAGATAGGTTCAGGGCCACAGGAAAGAGCTACAAGTCTAGAGACGTGGCAGACGGAATGGGCAGCCAAAGTCGGGAAGGCTGACTGGACGAGATCCGTGATCCCGGACGCAGTGAGGTGATACGGGGGTCGACATCGGCGCGTCAACTATTACTTCACACAGTTTTTGACAGGGCATGGATCGTTCAGGAAATACACCCATCGTATAGGGAAAACCGAGAACGATCTATGTCCTGAGTGCGGGGTGGTCGATGACGCGCAGCATCTCGTGTTCGTATGCTCTTCATATCACGCGGGGCGTACCGAGCTGCAGCTAGGCCTGGGATCCCCTCTAGGCGAGCCTCGCGAGCTAATTGATAAAGCTATAGACAGCAAGCATGACTTCGACCTGATCATTGCTTTTGTCACACAGACAATAAAGCATAAAGTAAAAAAAAAGAGGCGACTGCAGACAGGATGACCGTATATTTATTTTTTAACGTGTCTTGTGTCGTAAAAGGCAGCCAGTGGGGGGAGGACCCTATTCACCCAAACCACACTGACTGTCTAATTTAATTTATCGTATTTTATTTTTATACGGTTTTACTTATTTATTTATTTATTTTATCATAGTTTTATATATTTATTTACTTTATCGTTGTTTTCTATCTAATCTAATAAAATCAAATTCTAGATTTGATTTTATTTATGTTATTGTTCGCTGAACAATTTTATT